CTACGGCCCGAGACGAACAGTTGATTCCCATGACCGTGCCGAGGTGCGCCGGTTGCTGACCCGCCTAGTATGGACGGAGAACCAACCGCCGGATTTCATCCTGTACTGGTCGTGGTGGAGACGGCGCCACCAAGCACGAGCCCGACGTTGCCATTACAACGGCGCCTGTATGATCTGCGACTGTAGTACTATGTAGGCTCGACGGATGTCGTCTGTCATTGCGGCAGCAGGCCATTTGGGTGGACGGTTGCCACAGGACGCCGGCGTTGCGTACCACCGTGCGGGCTGGTATCATCGACCCCGAATGATCTCGACGTAAGAGCGGAAACTTGGACCCCCCAACCACGGATAGTGGCTCGCCGTCCACCTGGTCCATACCTCCCGAGGCAATCTCTGGCGGCCGTACCCGGTGCTTGGGCGGACCCCCTCGCCGTTGACTCTTCACGCCTGCGTTGACCAGGTGCGACTGAGCGTGGTCCTGCCGATGTCAATTTACCCTTCGCGCTCATCCAGCAACTCGCTGAGATGGTGTGGTTTGGCTCCTGAGTGCCTGGGTGCTGAGCCAAATGGACCACGTCTTAGGCCTCGGGAGTCGCATTGGGCGCTCTGCGGCCCCGGTGGCCGCGGGTACTTCGGCCGCTCCCTCTTCCCCGTGTAGGTCCCATCAGCGCCTGGTGTGCCGAGTGCTGCCACACCCATCAGCGTGGCCGCCTGATCCAGCGTCATGTGCTCTCTGCCATCAGACTGTTGAGAACCTGTAGTCTCGTCTGTTCCCTGGATTCACGTCACATTCTCCATGGAGTGAAATTGACATTTAGTGCTGGCCTGTTGCGAGGACGCTTTCGCTGGACGTCAACACTGAGGGAGTGAATTGTGGCCAGTGTCACAAAACGCGCGTTTGTGACCACCAGTCAGGCAGACTCATCCACATTGACCGCTCCGGATCTGGCCAGAAGTTAAACCAAAGCCAAGGTGAAATGTACATTCGGGGGGCGAAAAGATTGGCTTGGTTCTGCTAGCGAAGCCATCTGACCCGCATGGAAATGATTCGCAGCGCTGCTTGTCCTCCCCCATGTGCGCATTTCACCTGGCTTTAGTTAGTCCAAATTAACTCTCACAGCAGGTCAGATCAGGATTCGTCCTCAGACCCACCCAGTTCTGCTACTGTGACCCTGTAACCGGGATCGTCGACGTGGATTTGGTTCACAACCACATTGGCTTTTTCGAGCATTTCATGGCAGTTCTGGCTCAGGTGCAAGAGATACAGGCGTTTCCCCGCACGGTCGTAACGCCTCGAGAGATCCACGATTGCTTCTATGGCCGAATGGTCCCACACACGTGCGTTTTGAAAGTCGATTGTTGTCTCGAAAGGGTCGACCGCCGGTGTGAACAAATCTCTAAAGGAGTTGACGGAAGCGAAACAAAGTTGCCCTTGGAGCGAATAGACCCGCCGGCCGAAGACGGTGTCATCGCTTACCACAACGGAGAGGTGCAGAGCAGTTTTCCAAGCAACACCAAGGCCGACACGATCACTCCGACGACGACCGCGATCGCCAGATTAGTAACCACTGTAACCGCCGATACGAGGACCATCACCACTGCGTCTGAAACAGGCATTTTGCGGATAATTCGCAGGCTGGTCCATGAGAAGGTACCGATCACCACTACGAACATCACCCCAACGAGAGCAGCGATCGGAATCCGTTCAATCAATGATGACGCAAATACGATAAACAGCAGTAAAAGTAGAGCTGACAAGATGCCCGCCAGCCGCCACCTTGAACCGGCTTTTATATTGATCATGCTTTGGCCGATCATGGCGCAACCGCCCATGCCGCCAAAGAACCCCGTCACCACATTCGCTAACCCTTGCGACACGCACTCACGATTTTTCTGACCTCTCGTCTCCGTCAATCCGTCAATCAACGTAAGTGTGAGCAGTGATTCGATCAGCCCTATTCCGGCTAGGACGAATGCGAACGGCACGATGATCCGTAAGGTTTCGAAGTTGAACGGCACATCAGGCACTCCGAACGTCGGGAACCCACCCGCGATGCTCGAGAGGTCGCCGACCGTCGGAGTATTGATGCTCGCGAAGATCACCAATACCGAGACTACAAGTATCCCTACCAGCGCAGCAGGAATCCGCTTGGTGAACCGCGGCACTATGTAAATCACCGCCATCGTCAGGGCCACCAAGCCCAGCATAATCGCCAGATCAGATAGAGGCAGCCACGTTCGGTCCCGTGGGCGCCCTCAGTTTTGAAACTCTCCAACTGCGACAGGAAGATTACGATGGCCAGCCCATTTACGAAGCCGAGCATCACCGGAAACGGCACCATGCGGATCAGATTTCCCAATTTCAGCGCACCCACGACGATCTGGATCAACCCCATCAGAACCACAGTGATGAACAGATATTCGACCCCATGGTTGCTTACCAGACGACCATTACCACGGCGAGGGCTCCCGTGGCGCCGGAGATCATCCCTGGCCGTCCGCCGGTGAGGATGTGATGAGCCCGACGATGAACGCAGCATACATGCCGACTAGAGGATCAACTCCGGCTACGAAAGCGAATGCTACCGCCTCCGGGACGAGCGCCAGCGACACGGTGAGTCCTGCTAGGATTCCGTACGAATCCTGTCCAGATGGAAGGAGGTCTCGCATTACCAGACGAGAAGAGAGGTCTCGCATTAACAGTCCTGCAGAAAGTGAATTTACAGGCAGAAGATTCACAGTTGCGCGTTCATGGGGCGTCATGAATCGCAACAGGCCTGTGTAATCAACCTTGGAGAGTGCGCGTAATCAATTGGTCTGAAGAGACTAGCCGATTTGTTTTGCTAAAGCACGAGTGGTCAGTTTCACTGCATCATCTGCACCTTCAGTTACCCGCGATTAGCTGGTTATCACGCGCAACTGCAAAAACGCTCTGAACCGGAGTCGGTTCCCGTGTCCCACACCATGTATCGCTGTACTCGTCGTAGGATATTTCGTGGCATAGTACCCCAAGATTTCCCATATTGGGAGTCTTCGGCTCAAGGGCAGCCCAATGAGATGGTAGCATGTCTGGTCAAGCCGTCAAGACGCTCATCGCAAGTTTATCCGATACGGGATGCGATACTCAGCCGTGGACCATGCTCTCTTGTCTGCATATGTCGTCTTCAGATCCCTTACTATGAGTTGAAAGCGCATTACAGACGCCGACTCCCTGCCATAGCGCTCTCTCCGTCTCGGCAAAATCGTGTTGTACTCTCTCTTCGCTCAGCAGCCCGTCTGAGATTGACCAATTGTCGGTGTCGGTCGTTCGTCGGTCCCTCCCCAGCGGCGACGACTACCGTGTCGCACAGTGCTTGCGGGGTGCAGATTGCACTAGGGTCGCGATGTCGCTGAAAGCCCAGCTGGCACTGGTCCGGCACGACGCCTCCCTGTTGTTCCCGTGGCGCCTTTGGCCTGCATCTTGCCAGCGCGGCCGCCCCAAAGCGGAACAGTCTTTGAGCAGTTGTGGCGCGGGCAGCAGATCAGCAGCCACTCCGGTCACCTTCGCCAGACCCCGCGCAGGACTGCCTGGAATCCCGGCCATGCTTGATCTGGCCGAACACTCGGTTCCACGTCTCCATCCGGAGGCGCCGTAGCGTCCCTGCCGTGTCGTCCGCAGCTTGCGCGCGCATCCGATCCCTGGCTGAGAGTCCCTGGGTATGCGGCGCGGGGGCGCCGGTGGCGCACCCGCGTGGCGGGTTCTCCAGGCGCGAACGAACGAGTATCATACCAGGCGCAGAGTTCCTCCACCTCCTTGGCGAGTAGTATCACGGCGTCGGCGGGATCCTCTTCGGCACCGTGCGGTGTTATTCACGGTCTCCTCAATCATGCTCACGGCCCTGACCAGTGTGCGAGGTGCTGTTGGTGGCGGCCGCCACGATGACCGGTGGGTGCTGTCCACCACCGCCTGAGCAGTTGTAGACTGCTGGAGTCCCTCCTCGCCCGCGACCGGGCATGATGCGGAGTCCGGGTCGGTGAAGTGTTTCCGCTGTGCGCCTTGTGTCATCTGGCACCGGGATGATTGCGGGCCATCGGACTCAGCCTGTGCTCCGCCTCTCGCCCGTGCCTCTGGCCTCCAGCGCCGCCTTGGCCTCCCTTATCCTCCGCAGCCGGCTCTCCCGGAAGGCCAGTTCCTCCGGCAACTCATCCCCACTCCTGGTCCCTGTCCGTACCTGCGGTCCTCCTCCTCGTCCACCTCCTGCGCCCGCGCAGCAACTCGTCCACCTCGGCCTGCAACTGCTCTCCTCCTCTCTCCTTCATCCGCCCGTAGCTCATCGCCTTGTGCCTGGAGGCATTGGCCCTCACCTTGGTGCCGTCCAGCGCCACGTGCCCCAGCTTCACCAGTCCTGCCCTGCCGGCACAACTCCAGCACCTGCAGGAACAGGTCCCCCACGCCTCCAGATGGTCCTTTCGGAAATCGGAGACGGTGCGGAAGTGCGGCGTGTTGTTGGCCGCCAGCACCCGGAAGGCGATGTCTCGTGCAGCTCGAGGCGATGACGCCTGGAGGAGGCCACCCCGCGGCGCTAGTAGCAGTTTAGCAGCGACTTCACCAATCATCCTGGATGGTAGGGCGGCCGCACGCCTTCCTGCTCGTAGCGGGAGCGTGAGCTTTGATGTCCGAGAGGTCCAGCATGGTCCACCACCACGTCGAGATGAACCTAGCAGGTGGTCCGGCGGCACCATGCCTGCAGCGCGCAGCCGGCAATGCCCACGCAACTGCTTGCTCCGGATCGTAGGGAAGGAGGTCTTGCTCATTGACTCGCTCCGCTCGTCTGATGCACTCCGCACCTCATACCCTCACCGGCTCACCAACCCTGTTCTCGGACAGGGAACGGCTCAGCGAAGTCGCGTACGTCCGGACATCGCTGGCCGGAGTGATGAGAACCGCTCACATCCTGTTGCACGTTGAGTGGCCTGCAACTCCCCTCCGAGCCGAGTGCCGATGCCAACACCCCTCTCCTTTCCGTACGACCCAGCACCGCCCCAACCGACTTTTTCACACGTCCGCTGTACCGCATCGATCGAATATTAACCTGACATCAGGGTGCCCTCGCACTCGAGACGACGGTAGTAGTGTAGTACCGTGTCAGACAAAAACAGCGCACGAGGGAGATGCAACATCTGCATCTACGGGTGCGGAGTATCAGTGGAGACGGCGCTCGGCAACGGATCTGGGTGCTGGCACGCCTTCGTAGGCATATGTGACGGAAGGAGATGTCGGGTTAGTCGAATATCGCGCCTTGCTACTGCAGAGAGATCCCGGCGTTAGAACAATCCCACTCTCTGTCGATGAATGACATCGCACAGGTGAGAACCGCGATGCGCTGATGCGAGAGACGGAGTCGCCTTTGATAGTATTGGGAAGTGTGGGATGCTGACTACTGCCGTCCTTGCCTTGAGACTGCGAATCGGGCAGCGTGTTGCGGCAAAGAACACTTGCAAGCAATTCAATTGAAAATGGGAGATAAACCAGGCAAGATTTATTTTGCCACCTCTGGATCAGAGTGGCCGTTCAAACTCAGGAAGAGGGCACTAACCTTCGGAGCGCAGGTCGCTGGTCATCGTCAACAGACTTAAGAAAGTGGTTCGCATCGTTACTCGCTACTCCATGCCGTTCAGAAGTAACACCGACCCTCTACGGCTAGATGCAAGAATGTTCTAGACCTCGCCGAAGCCCATTCTGCCAACATATCTCCGGGATGATGATCCTTCTGCCATCCTGAATGTGCGGGATCGGATGGTCGCGTCGCTTCAACACCCCATTGAATTTGTGCGCCGACACACCCACAGTTGTGCAGCTTCTTCCAGGTTTGTAGCAAAAGCTTGCTGGGAGAGGGTGGCTGATTCCCGTGCCTTCTGGTCCATGATTGCCGAAGAGTGTTCACATCTCCTTTTGTGAACAGCTACAGCGAGTTCGACTCCGGATCTTCCACCAGGATCAGCAGCTGTTCACTCCCCGTTCGCAGGTAATCCAGGAAAAACTCCCAATTGGTCTGAGCCGCCGCGATGCTCCTGCACCCGTCGCGCCCGTGTGAGTGAGCTCGTCTCCGAAACCATCCTGTCTATTCCATGGAGAATAACAGGATTGGCGCCCTGGCAACGTTTGGGCGGTAGTTGCGGGACGAGGTCGGCAAAACTCGTCCTAGCGAGGAGGGCATTAGCCCGTCGATAAGGGGATGTTGCCGGCGAATGAGCCAGTAGACGCAGAAAACGCAGAGGCACAGCGATTGAGGATTCTGATTCCGAGATGATCTCTTCACGGCGAATGACGACGAAGTGGCGTGAAGTGCAGAGCGAAATAGTATGTGGTGGCCGACGACCGAGCGATAGGCGATACTGATTTTCTCCAACGACATCATCGCGCGCCACGCGCAGCAACCGACTACTGTGCTTCTACTCGGACCGACGCAGCAACCGGCCATCAATGTTGCTGCTCCATCCCATCGCGTGACACAACCAAGCGAAAGGTGCGAGAACCCGGTGTGATCGCACTTGCCGATCGGATGTGCCGTAGGGAGCCCGTCGGGGCGATCTGTCAAATGGTGAGGGTTCTGGAATCTGGCCGGAAAGGCCTGTTCGGTGCGAGATGTATTCCGGCTAGTGAGCCGACGCACGCAAGGGACCGAGGGTACGATTTGACCGAGCCGCGCTGGGACAACATCAAGTGCGGAACGGATGTCCGCACGGAAAACGCTGCCGAGGGCTGGACGCATGCCGGAAGCCGGTGTTGACCGCAACGGAAGGGGACCTTGGCCGCCACCAGTCAGTTGGCCACCGTGGCCCGCAGTCAGCTGGAATTCGTCGTTGGCGCGGCCCGCCCGCCGAAGTAGCGGGACTCTGGCGGATTCCCAGTTGGACAGCCGCGCAACCGGGCTCCACCACACCGCCGCTGCCGGTCTACTCTGCCAAAGGCCTCGCTCTGCTGCAGGGCCCGGCCTGCTGCAATAAGCCTCCTGATGGTGCAGTTGCACCGATCGTCTGTGCCCGAAGTGTTAGATGCCGCGGCACACGCACTGGGATCGCAGCGGGCACACCGCAGACCGCTCCATCGCACTGGAAGGCCTGCAGTTGGTGAGTCCGGCTGTTGCTGTGTGCGAGTACCCAAGGGCGCACTCTACGGGTAAGCCGACATCCACCGAAGGGATGACTATGCAGCAGCGGAACGGGCGATAGGGGCAAGGGAGGGCGATGGTCCGGGCACGATTTGGGGTAGAGGGGGGCCGGTGTCTGTCTTCAGTTGCCGCGGGGAGACTTTGTGACCGTCTGCGAATGTTGGTCAGGGCGAGATAGCGGGGAGAGGACGCAGCAAGAGGCACTCGCAGACCGGACTGGCGCGAGTTCGCGGGGACGTTCGGTTGGCCGGATGGCGGCCGGTTGCCGCCGCCGCCGTCAGGCAGGGAGTGGCAGGGCGCGCAATCGGGCCAGGGCACGATCGAACTGGGCTTCCCAAGGCCAGCGCTGTGGCAGATGCAGTGTGAGGCGGCGCGCCGAGCGGGTGATCCGTCCGGCCAGGGAGAAGAACCGCCGCCGGAGGGTCTTGGTGGTCACCACCTGCTCGCCCAGACCGATGCGCGCTGTCCAGCGGGCGATGTTGTGGGCCATCACCTGTACCGCCAGCCAGGCGGCGTTGGCGGCGAAGCGGCCCGAGGGGAGATGGTTCAACCCCACACCGTGCTTGAGGTCTCGGATGGCATTCTCGATCTCGGCGTGGCGGCGATGGTCGGCCTCCAGTTCGAGCATCTCCCCGTCCCGGTCGGTGATGAAGCCGTGATAGCTGTAGGTGGCGAAGAGGGCCAGCTGGGAACCGGGCGTGGGCTTCAGACGCCGGACGATGAGCCGCACCGGCGCGGCGTCAGGTTCACTCTGGAAGGGAGTGCAGGTGGTCTCGGCCACATCGGCGGCGCCGTCCATCCAGTAGGGAATGGGAGTCCAGGCATCCTCGGGTATCGCCTCGATGAGATTGCGCAGGCTCTTGTGCTGGCGGACGGCCCGACTGAGCGAGGAACCGAGTAGACAAAGGAGGCCTCATGCCGAACGCGACGATTGAGACACGCAGGCACAGTACTCTCGAGAAGAAGAGACGGCATTATCGGACGCCGTCCACGCGGCGATGATCGAGGGCCTCAAGATCCCGGAGGGGACAAGACCGTTCGCCCTCGTGGTCCATGAGCCGCACAACCGGTTCCCCGCACCGCCTGGCGACGAGCGGTATACGCTTGTCGACATCGACCTGATGGCCGGCCGATCCCTCGACGCTAAGAAGGCTCTGTATCGCGCCCATAGTCAGCAACCTCAGCCCTTCGGGATCCCCGGCGACCTTATCAAGGTGCTGCTGCGCGAGAGTCCTGCCGAGAACTGGGGCATTCGCGGAGGCGTACCGGCCTCCGAGGTTGAGCTCGGGTTCGAGGTCAATGTATAGGCCAGTCCGCTGCCTTCTAAAGTCAAGGAGTTAATTGAAAATGAGAATATCGCGGATATCGTGGGCTGGAGTACGAGCGAGCGACTTTGACGCTACGATCCAGTACTTTTCAGAAGTGGTCGGTCTCCCTTTAAGCCTACGCAACAACGATCAGAGGCGGCTCATTTCGGCTTGAATCCGGCGACCTATCGAGGTGTTCGGGCCCAACAACCCGAATGATGAGTTACATGTTAATCCCACCTTCGGTTTCGAAGTAGACGACACTCGTGTCTGCTCGCACGGAGATGGCGGCCAGAGGGGTAGAGTTCGTCACGAGATCCGGACCTGGTCACGTCCCGTCAAGTGGTGTAAGAGTGCGTCATCGTGTTGCTGTTGTTTAGGCGGCTGTCGCCTCCGCGAGATCGGCCTCCGGAAGAGCTTCGTTGAAGGTCAGAATGGCGGGTGTGAGGTATCGACGTCCGACGACCCATTCGTCGTGCTGCTCAGCCAGGACGGCGCCAACGAGGCGGCGCACGGCCGGCCGGTTAGGGAAGATGCCCACCACATCGGTGCGTCGCCGGATCTCCTTGTTGAGACGCTCCTGTGGGTTGTTGGACCAGAGCTTCTTCCAGTGGGCGAGTGGGAAGCTGGAGAAGGCCAGGACGTCGGGTCCCGCTTCGTCCAGTAGAGAGGCGACCTCGGGGAACCGATCGTGGAGCTGAGAGGTCACCCTGTCGAGTTGGGCGTGTACCTCATCGGGGGAGGGTTGCTGGTAGATGGTGCGGACCATGGTGGCCACCCAGGGCTGGGCGCGCCTGGGGACCCGAGTGAGCAGGTTGGTCATGAAGTGGGTGCGGCACCGTTGCCAGCTGGCTCCGCCGAAGACTGCGGCGATGGCGCCGCGGAGTCCCTGATGAGCGTCCGATACCACCAGCTCCACCCCACTGAGGCCCCTGGCGGACAGCGAGCGTAGGAAGGCCAGCCAGAAGGCGCCGTCTTCACTGGTACCCACGTCCATCCCGATGATCTCCCGCTTGCCCTCGCCATTGACCGCCGTCGCCACCACCACGCTGACGTTGACGATCCTGCCGTCCTCCCTGACCTTCTGGGTCAGTGCGTCCAACCACAGGTAGGGGTAGGGTCCACCGTCCAGCGGACGGCCCAAGAAGCCATCCACCACCACGTCCAGCTCCTGACAGATGCGCGACACCTGGCTCTTGGAGATACCCTCACACCCCAGGGCCTTGACCAGATCGTCCACCCGCCTCGTGGATACACCTTCCACGTAGGCCTGCTGGATCACAGCCAGCAGAGCTCGCTCGCTGCGACGCCGTGGCTCCAGCAGGCTCGGGAAGTAGCTCCCCTCTCTGAGCTTCGGGATGTGCAGCTTCATCGTCCCTACACGGGTATCCCACGCCCGGGACCGATACCCGTTGCGCTGGGTCACCCGCTCAGGGCTGCGTTCTCCATACTCAGCACCGATCCTCGATGACACCTCCGCATCCATGATCCCCTCTACCAGCACTCTCAGAGCCTCCCGTAGGAAGTCCACGTCACCGTCCATTCCCCCCTTGTGCAATAGCTCCAGCAGGTCCATCCTTTCCTTGACCACCGTTGTCCTCCTTTTCTCGAGCTTGTTGTTTGCCCGCTAAGGATGACGCGGTGGTCTCTCTTTCTCCAGACCCTCTCCCTCTTACACCACTTCCTGGGACTCTACTCCGTCTCGAATGTTGGTCAGGCGATAAGCGGGGAGAGGACGCAGCAAGAGGCACTCGCAGACCGGACTGGCGCGAGTTCGCGGGGACGTTCGGTTGGCCGGATGGCGGCCGGTTGCCGCCGCCGCCGTCAGGCAGGGAGTGGCAGGGCGCGCAATCGGGCCAGGGCACGATCGAACTGGGCTTCCCAAGGCCAGCGCTGTGGCAGATGCAGTGTGAGGCGGCGCGCCGAGCGGGTGATCCGTCCGGCCAGGGAGAAGAACCGCCGCCGGAGGGTCTTGGTGGTCACCACCTGCTCGCCCAGACCGATGCGCGCTGTCCAGCGGGCGATGTTGTGGGCCATCACCTGTACCGCCAGCCAGGCGGCGTTGGCGGCGAAGCGGCCCGAGGGGAGATGGTTCAACCCCACACCGTGCTTGAGGTCTCGGATGGCATTCTCGATCTCGGCGTGGCGGCGATGGTCGGCCTCCAGTTCGAGCATCTCCCCGTCCCGGTCGGTGATGAAGCCGTGATAGCTGTAGGAGGCGAAGAGGGCCAGCTGGGAACCGGGCGTGGGCTTCACACGCCGGACGATGAGCCGCACCGGTGCGGCGTCAGGTTCACTCTGGAACGGAGTGCAGGTGGTCTCGGCCACATCGGCGGCGCCGTCCATCCAGTAGGGAATGGGAGTCCAGGCATCCTCTGGTATCGCCTCGATGAGATTGCGCAGGCTCTTGTGCTGGCGGATGGTGATGGAGAAGCGGACATCCATCTTGCGGCAGACGGATACCACGCCATGAGTGTAGAACCCGCTGTCGGCCCGTAGCGTGAGTCGTCCGTTGGCCCCGGCGTAGCGCACCCGTCCCACCGTCTCCCGCAGGAAGTGGGCGGCGCCGCGGGCGGTGTTGGCCCGGCCCTCGCGCAGCCGGGACATCAGCACGTCTCCGGTGCCGGCGGCGATGGCCAGCAGCGGGTGGTAGCCCCGCTTGCCGGTATAGCCGTGGTGGCGGGCGCCCTCCTTGGCCAGTCCGTAGGTCTCGCAGATGGTGGAATCGAGGTCGATGGTGAACGGCGCGTCGCCGGGTCCGGCCCCACCGGCCCAGGCCCGGGCCAGCAGCTCCCGGCTCACCCGGTCCAGCTGGCGGACGTGGCCCCACCGGAAGCTGCGCAGGAAGGTCCCCAGGGTGGATGGCGCCTTGACCGTGCCGCCCAGGGTGCAGGCCGTCCCCCCGGTGCGCAACACATCGGCGTCGTCGATGCAGTCGCCGCCGGCCATGGCTGAGGCCACCAGGGTCATCAGCTTGTCTCCGGTGTTGGCCCGCCCCGGCGCGCCGCCCAGGTCAAGGTGATGGTCAACGAGTTCCCGCAGGCCCAGATGCCCGGGCGAGGGTGGCCGGCAGGAGCAGACCGGCATTGGCCACCAGGCGGTGATCGTCAAAGACGATACGGATACGGTCGGGGCTGGTTGCGTGGTAGCATCTATTGGGTGCTCCTTCTCTGGGACTGTTTTGCTGTTACAAAACCATTATCCCAGATTCAGAGGAGCACCCTCTGGCCACTTCAGGATGCTAACCAAACGCCCTCCCTCGGTGGATTCGGGCTAATGGTGGATCTGGTGCGGCAGACCGATTTCTCCTGGTCATGGAAGGCCGTCAGATAAGCGAGGGTCGCCGCACCCATCCCGAATAGAGCCCGAACAGTTGCCTGGGCCAACCAAGCCCGCATCTTGCAAGGACGGGCCAGCAATTCGCAGGAGGTGCTCGATGGAGCAGGAAGATGACCTACGTAGGCATTGATGTAGCCAAGGCCCAGGTGGACTGTCGCCGTCCGTCCCACGGACGACAGATGGGAGGTTTCCCATGACGAGACAGGAGTCCGGCAGCTGGTCTCCCAGCTGAAGGCCCTTGAACCGGTCATGGTGTTGCTGGAGGCTTCGGGCGGCTTGGAAGTGCCGCTGGTGGCTGCCTTGGCAGCCGACGCGGTGCCTGTGGTCGTCGTCAACCCCCGCCAGGTGCGGGACTTCGCCAGGGCCACCGGGAAGCTGGCCAAGACCGACGCTCTGGACGCAGCGGTTCTGGCTCACTTCGCCGAAGCGGTTCGTCCACCCGTGCGCCCTCTGCGAGACGCCGAGACCCAGGCCCTCAACTCCCTGGCTGCCCGCAGGCACCAGGTGATGACCATGCTGGTCTCGGAGAAGAACCGCTTGAGCGCCGCCGCCACCGTCGCCGTCCGTCCCCGCATCGAGGCCCACATTGCATGGCTGGAGCGAGAGCTGGACGACCTGGATGAGGGACTGCGGCAGACTCTTCGTCAGAGTCCCGTATGGCGAGAGAAGGATGACCTCTTGCGCACCGTTCCCGGGCGTGGGAGAACAAGTCTCCCTCTCTCTCCTGGCCTATCTGCCGGAGCTGGGCACGCTGGACCGCCGGCAGATCGCCGCCCTGGTAGGGGTGGCTCCCTTCAACCGGGACAGCGGCACCCTGCGGGGCAAACGCACCGTCTGGGGTGGACGCGCCCGCATCCGCGCCGCCCTGTACATGGGAGCGCTGGTGCCAGTCGCTTCAACCCTGTTATCAGGGACTTCTACCAGCGGCTGCTGGCCGCTGGTAAGCCCAAGAAGCTGGCCCTCACAGCCTGCATGCGCAAGCTGCTCGTTATCCTCAACTCCATGCTCAAGCATCGCTCACCCTGGCGCGACCTGACTCCGGCAGTCGCCGGTCATTCCTCTTGACTTTCAAGACAGTTGCTT